TCTGTCCTTCACGTCAAGGTCAGAAATACTGTGATTGGACAACGATCTCAGCTTCCTGGCCAGTTTGTAACTGGAACCATTCAGGTACATTTGCTGTCCAAAGACCGCGAAGAACGGAGTCACTCCCGTAGCGCTGTGGACCTCATTCCGGATCGCCACTTCCACCTCTGGTAGGTACGCGTCCCAATCCCGATGATCCTGACCCAGGTAGGTTCTGATTGCAGACAGCACTGTGCGGTTCACGCGTTCGGCGGCGTTGCTCTGCGCAGGTGAGTAATGCCATTATCGTCCATTATCCGAATGGATCACTTTCGGCACGCCAAATTTGAAGAACACCTTAAGGTAAATTTCGAGAAGTGGTCTACGACGACGAATATCTACGCTTCCCCAAGAAGTCGTTATATAGCTTCTGGAAGGGGCGGTCGGTGCGCACTTCTTCCCCAATTCCGACCTGCATCCGGTAGTTTTGTTCCTTGGTCTCTTTGCATGTATCGCATTTCCGTACATAGTCCTTGACTTGTATGGCCATGTTGAGCCAATAATATCGCCTGCGCAGCGCGTGCAGCGTTTCCTCATGCCTCCATGAGCTGACGTCTCGTCCGCGTGTGCTTGTTGGATGAGTCCTACCAATCAGCGACTCCGGCACCCAGCTTCTTACTTGTGCCCTCGACCTCATCCTTCAAGCTCTCGTTCACGGTCCACTTGAACAGAACAGAACAGAACAACCCTTGTTGGCTCATCACCTCTTTTATCAGCTCTCGATATTCGGTGCTCTCGAACTCCGGGGTCAGAAATCCCAACAGATCCTCTGGGGTCAGTATGACCTCTTCCACGCTTCGGGACAACGTGTCTGCGACGACGTTGCCGGCTCCCTTGCGGTACTGCATGGAGAAAGGGAACGCTTGCAGTTCTAGGGACCACCTGGCTAATCTCCCGCTCAAGTCTTTGAGACTCATAATCCACTGCAGGCTCGCATGATCGGTGATTACCGTGAACGGCATCATCTCCACGTACGGTTGGAATCGATGTATGGCCAGTTTGGCGGCTAGGCATTCCTTCTCGGTCACCGAATAGTTGATGTGGTGCTTGTTGAGTTTGGTCGAGAAGAATGCGATCGGCCTTTCCTGTTGCTCGTCGTCTAACTTGAACAACACGGCTCCTATTCCGTAGTGAGACGCGTCGCATTGGATGAAGAATGGTCTTCGAAAATCTGCGTGAACTAACACGGGAGCTGTGGTCAGGGCTAACTTCAAGCTTTCTATGGCATCCATGGCCTCGTCACTCAACACAAATCTACCAGTTCTTCCTAAGGGCATCAGTCAACGGTACCGAGATCTCGGCGAAGTTCTTTATGAATCGTCGATACCACCCGGCTGTACCTAAGAAGCTTCGTAGTTCCTTGACCGTCCTCGGATTCGGAATGTTCCGGATTCCTTCTACTCTTCCCGGATCCATGCGCAGCGTCCCGCCGCCTATGATGAAACCCAGGTAGTTTAGGTTGCGGAAGCAGAATTTTGACTTCGCTATGCCTATGGTTAGGTTCGCGTTCCTCAGACACATGGCCACCAGTTCCAAATATTTTAGGTGCGTTGGAAAATCTGCCGATATTATCAGCAAATCGTCTAGTTATACGAACACGTTGGACCTCAGATTCGCCGGGATTACCTTGTCCATGAGCCTACAAAGTTGTTGAGCGGCGTTGCAGAGCCCGAATGGCATGTGGCCGAACTGGTACAACGGCCTCCCTGGTACGGTAAACGCCGTATACGCCCTGCTCTTCTCCTCAATCTCGATTTGCCAGAACGCGAACTTAAGGTCGACGCTAGAGATAAAATGAGTCTCGTCGATTCGCGATAGGATGCCCTCGATGCATGGAAGCGGGTAAGCGTCATTTACCGTCACACTGTTTAGTTTCCTGGCGTCTAAGCAAAACCTGTTCTTCCCAGGCCTCATCACCACCGTCGTCCGGTTGCTCCAGGGGCTGTCACTCTCCTCGATGATGCCTAACTTTAGCATTTTATCCACCTCGGCCCACACGATCTCCTGTTTGGCCAAAGACAGCGGATAATGTCTGTCCTTCACGGGTTCTGCTCCCTCGATCAGCTGAATTCGGTGCTGCAGCAGGTGAGTTTTCCCTAGGCCATCCTTCTCAAATTGGAAAAATCTGCGCTTCACGCTTTGCAACTGACTCTTCTGATCGTTGTCCAGGTCCCACATTTCCGAATCCGCCGCGCAGTCGTCGTCGTCCCGGTAATATGCCACCTCTGTGTTCGCTACCGTTACCTCAGATGCCTCTGGTGGTGTTCCGGGCTTTCTGGCCGGACCGAGCAGCTCTGGTACAATCTCAAAGGCCCGCCAGAAGTCGATTCCCAAGTATAGTTTCTGTCGCAGGTCCGGGCACATGTAAAATACGATATCTTCCTTTCTATTCTCGTATTTCACAGGCAGAACCACGCGACCTAAAATTGGGCGATTAGCACCCGCCGCTGTCCTCACCATCGATTCGTATGGCCGCGCTTCCCATCCCAGTTTCTCCACTAACTCCCGGCATCCTCGTCCCAACAGACTGACTGAGGCCCCCGTGTCCAGCAGCCCTTTCATCTTGGCCCCGGCGACTTCCACTTCGGCGAATACGCGTGGGTCTATACTATCCTCCCGTCTCACCGCCTCGACGACCTGGCGCCGGGTAATCCTGCGTCTGCGGAAGCGCGCACGTGCCTTAACCACTCTCCGGCTGGCTAGTGTCATCCCTTCCGGCTGTCGCTCACCAAAAATTCTATTTCGGGCCGACATGTATGCCCGAACACGTTCTTCATACGGTAAGCCCCTAAGTGTTCCTCCTTTGCTTATATTAATATCTCCGTCTCCTTTTCAATGATTATTGGCTTTGGTAGGTATCCCTCGTCTGCTTCCCCGCGTTTGCCATCACCGCGCTCCCTCTGGGGTTTCCCGGACAGTTTTCACACTGGGAGCAGAAAGTGTCCGGTTTTCCACACCTATAGCAGAATATTTTCCGCTCCTTGGACAGGCAGTCTCTAAAGACGTGATCGAATTGTCTGCAGTTCCAGCGTACATGTCGGGATGAGTTCCTGCCTCGCACGAATGCTTCCTCCAGTTCTCCCGGCGGCGTTTCTGTACGTTGTGGTGGTACTTCAACCTCGTGGACTACGGGCCTCGTTCCTTGTGGACAACGCGACGGGTTCAGGTAACCCGTCCGGCTTCTGCGACCCATGTGCCTCTCCACTTCTAGGCACTCTTGCCCCAGTTCATCCACGGTGAGTACGTCCATGGCATAGATATATTTCGCCAGACTTTCTTTCAAACCAAGCCTTATAATCTTCACCAGCTCGCGGTCTCTCAGCGGCTTCAGGAATCGCGCGGCGAGCATGTGGTGTATATAATCATCCACCCCTTCGCTGACCTGTTGCTCTCATTGTAATAGCTCCTGCATCACATCGTGTTCCGTCTGGTAGCCCCGGAACCTGTCCAAAAGGGCCTGTCGCAGTTGCATCCAGCGTCGACCCTAGAATGCCGCACGTGCATCCAATACCACTCGTGGGCACGGCCGGTCAGGAGCAGGTGGAAACCACGCAGGACCCCCTTCCACGGGCATTGCCCGCCTTTGCAGGAACTCCAGGCGGAACACGAAGTCTTCGACCGATTGTATCGCGTCCTCGCCGTCAAACTTGACGCTCCACCGCTCGAGCTTCACGTTGGCGTACGCCTCCTCCGGTTGAAAATCATCCGCTCTCCGGTCCTCTACTCGAAAATGGCGGTTATTCGGGCTTTTGGGAACTCCAGGTTTCGTGGAGGCTTATCTTGTTGCGCCAATTCTTTCTCCAAGTCTACCAGGTGACCCTCTTTAGGGATCTGTCTCTTAAAAAAAAAACGTTACCAATATTCCTAATAAATTAATAAATAAATAAACACCCACTAACAAATCTTACTAATAAAGAATAATAATTTCATACACATCGACCACAAGAATATTCACAAAATTACATTTTTTTCCTTCTAATTAATTTCAAATACTTGGGGGAGAGAAGACAAATCAGGCTAACTAATCTACGCATAATCTGGACAATGGACAACACTTAAGCATTCGTCAAATGCTCAGTTCGTCAGTTTGACTGACGAACGGCATTCAAGGAACACTACCTTGAAGACTATTTGGTTTCTGTCACACTTCTGGGCACCCTTAAGGTATGCTGTGTGTCAGGTGTGGCTCTGGATCGGCTTTATATCGTCCTGGGTCACCTGTCACCGAAGCTCATTTAACTACGGCCAGCACATCCCAGCGTTAGCACAGAGTGGACAAAACAAATAGAAAACAATAAACAAACTCTAGTAAGACCTACCGATAAACGGTCGCGAACGTTTCGCCAACATGCGAACGTGACTTACCGTCATCAACCACTACAAGAAAACTTCTCATGTTTATAGATATTCTCTACTTCCGTCGTGATTCTCGGATTCCACTACACGCTGCGCGATTATGAGCTCCCTACTCGTGCCACATAAGACTTCAGCGGTGTGGGTCCTGAAGCCAAAGCAATCGTTTTCTTCAAAGAAGCCGAGTGCTTCTTCAATTTGGGCGCCATATTGTTACGAAACTGCTTGTTTCTCGGTGGGCCGCGCCGGCTGGCTTATCGGTTTCTCTGGGTGTAGTCCCTGGCCCGCAGTCCGCACAATCGATAACAACAAAGCTACACGTCTGCAACAAAACAGACTTACACAACACTATGCAAAACGAACCACAAATCGATAACGTCAAACAATCGGAACATCCAACTCATGAACAAAATAAACAGCTGTAACAACTAAGAAAATGTAAACAACAAAGGTGAGACACTCAATATAAATTAACAAAAAACACTATTTATCCACCTTACTCTTCCAGATCGGGCCCTGGTTCCGGACCCAGCGTACCCGCCCAACCATGAGACGATCACCTACTCGTCTCCCACATTTTGTCCATTAGATGGCCATCAGCCTGTGCCGGCTATTATGCCAACTCTCCCCATCGAAGAAAATTTAACCGGACATTTCTCTCATCAGATACGGTATATAATTGGTTGCGTTTTCTTTAAGTGTATAACAATTATAATCATTGCTTATGGCATTTATCTTTGCAGCTATTTCGAATCTCATATTTGGTTAGCTTCACAGGTGCGTATAATGGTTTGTGCATTCTTATAATTATTGGCATTAATATTTCTTTTATTTCTTTCTGATTTGCACGAGGTCTCCGTCCAGATGAATTAATATTCATGCACGTGACGTTTCTTACCCGGATGCGTATTAATGTTGCATATTTATATTTATACTTATGGACAAAGTGTATTAATGCCTAAATTTTTCTCTTATCTCCTAGAATTCCTTTTTTTTTATTTTAACAGCACCAAATGGAACAGGCGAAGAAATTCTACAAAGATATCGCTAGTCGCCGCAAAAAAAAACACGAACGGAGGCAATTAAGAGGCAATCGTTGCGCCAATTTAGGAACAATGTGCCCACACAACTACGTAAAACTGGGTATGTCACGATAATCAGTCGTGCAACAGGTAGGTGATATAAATTGTATTAAATCGCTTAATTCTACCTTACCCTACCTAAAGAGCTCTCTGGGGGTGGTAAGGGGCGATATAAATGGATAATTCCAATTAGGTAAGTATGTGAGCATAGTTCGCGCAAGTGTTAATTTTATATTTATATCTTTTATGCGCAAATGCATCACCTTTGGAAATTCCCTCACCGTTCGCACTCTAAAGTGAAACTCGGCGTATGTGCCTATGTATGTATAGACATGATTAATAAATACAAAAAACTTAATCTAACGACAAAAATAATCTGTTCTTTTTCAGGGAGTACGGTCAGGAGTCTCCATCATTTCTTTGCCAAGAGCTCTAACGAGGATGGGCAAAATAGAACGGACTCACTCGGAGGATGTGGGCGTGGTCTCGCCTGTGGCCGCTTCTTCGTTGTTGGCGTCCGGTCGTTGGTGGCTCGTCTCGTCGCCTTCAGGGTTGCGCCGACGCTTGGCTGGCGGCGTCGCGGATATGGCTGGTGTGCGCTGCTGAGCCGATTCCTGGCTTTTGGTATGTTCGTGGGCTTCTCTGGTGCGGGAGCTGGTCCCTTTGTTGCCGGAACCGTTAATTTTTATTTCCTTTTTTTTTTAGTTCGTTTCGTTGCACTTAAGTTTTATGTGTTTTTCTTTTGCAATACGTTAGCACATACGGATTAAGCAATTGACTAATAAAGAAAACCCGTCCATAACAAATGTATGTCCCTTGATTTTTATCTTTTTGGTTAAGCACATGCTCCGTGGCCGGCAAAAAAAAATATCCCACATCCAAAAATTCTTAACTACGAGCCGGTGCGTCCGCTGTGGACCGCTGACAAAGTCGAACTCCGTTTACATTTGGGCAGCAACATCATCGGTGCCGAATTTCGGCACACGCATACATTGGCGAGGCGGGCACCGTTGCTGCACAGCTGCATTTTTTTGGGTCAATGGCCCAAATGACGACCAAGGGCATGCGATCCACTCTATTCATATTCTCTTTAAGAGCGAACCGGGCGGCCAATAGCAATCGTCGCTTTTGGCGAAGTGGATCGCAAGTCTGGCGTTGCCATCCTTCAAAAGTTTGGGCTCCGCCGTGGGCGCAGCTTCACCCCGCATACTCTGACCATATGACGAAAAGATATCGGCGTGGCCGATAATATCGCACGCAACCAACTAGGTAAGCCCTCGGTGCTACCGATAACGTCAAATGCAACATCACCACGCAGATTCTTGTAATGACATGAATGACCGATACAAGGAATGTGCGTGCGCATTTCATGGATTGATCCAGCCGGCTAATAACGATACCCCACGTAGGCCACACTCACGACAAGTAATCTATATTTTCGCACTGCCCGAAAGAAAAAAAAACAGGGAGGACGGGCGCTGCCGCCGCCATTGCCTGGCAGGGAGGTGAGCAAATTACGATTATGTTCGTATATCTTTTGCGTGGAAGACGCCTAGCACGCGTCCCTGGATATCTTCTAACTCGTAGGCGTTGGTGCCCACGGCTCGGACGACTCGGATCTTCAAGAATTTCCGGGCGAACTTGGCATTGATGGTTTTGCCGAAGCTGCTTAGTGCGAAGTTGCGCCTCAGCACTTCCTGTCCTGTTCCAGATTGAGCTGGCGCGCGCGGTGGTCGTACCGTTGGCGACTTCGCTCGTATGCGGTGTGCAGGTCCTTGACTTGGCTTCGGATTACAGCCAGTCTGTCCTTCACGTCAAGGTCAGAAATACTGTGATTGGACAACGATCTCAGCTTCATGGCCAGTTTGTAACTGGAACCATTCAGGTACATTTGCTGTCCAAAGACCGCGAAGAACGGAGTCACTCCCGTAGCGCTGTGGACCTCATTCCGGATCGCCACTTCCACCTCTGGTAGGTACGCGTCCCAATCCCGATGATCCTGACCCAGGTAGGTTCTGATTGCAGACAGCACTGTGCGGTTCACGCGTTCGGCGGCGTTGCTCTGCGCAGGTGAGTAATGCCATTATCGTCCATTATCCGAATGGATCACTTTCGGCACGCCAAATTTGAAGAACACCTTAAGGTAAATTTCGAGAAGTGGTCTACGACGACGAATATCCACGCTTCCCCAAGAAGTCGTTATATAGCTTCTGGAAGGGGCGGTCGGTGCGCACTTCTTCCCCAATTCCGACCTGCATCCGGTAGTTTTGTTCCTTGGTCTCTTTGCATGTATCGCATTTCCGTACATAGTCCTTGACTTGTATGGCCATGTTGAGCCAATAATATCGCCTGCGCAGCGCGTGCAGCGTTTCCTCATGCCTCCATGAGCTGACGTCTCGTCCGCGTGTGCTTGTTGGATGAGTCCTACCAATCAGCGACTCCGGCACCCAGCTTCTTACTTGTGCCCTCGACCTCATCCTTCAAGCTCTCGTTCACGGTCCACTTGAACAGAACAGAACAGAACAACCCTTGTTGGCTCATCACCTCTTTTATCAGCTCTCGATATTCGGTGCTCTCGAACTCCGGGGTCAGAAATCCCAACAGATCCTCTGGGGTCAGTATGACCTCTTCCACGCTTCGGGACAACGTGTCTGCGACGACGTTGCCGGCTCCCTTGCGGTACTGCATGGAGAAAGGGAACGCTTGCAGTTCTAGGGACCACCTGGCTAATCTCCCGCTCAAGTCTTTGAGACTCATAATCCACTGCAGGCTCGCATGATCGGTGATTACCGTGAACGGCATCATCTCCACGTACGGTTGGAATCGATGTATGGCCAGTTTGGCGGCTAGGCATTCCTTCTCGGTCACCGAATAGTTGATGTGGTGCTTGTTGAGTTTGGTCGAGAAGAATGCGATCGGCCTTTCCTGTTGCTCGTCGTCTAACTTGAACAACACGGCTCCTATTCCGTAGTGAGACGCGTCGCATTGGATGAAGAATGGTCTTCGAAAATCTGCGTGAACTAACACGGGAGCTGTGGTCAGGGCTAACTTCAAGCTTTCTATGGCATCCATGGCCTCGTCACTCAACACAAATTTACCAGTTCTTCCTAAGGGCATCAGTCAACGGTACCGAGATCTCGGCGAAGTTCTTTATGAATCGTCGATACCACCCGGCTGTACCTAAGAAGCTTCGTAGTTCCTTGACCGTCCTCGGATTCGGAATGTTCCGGATTCCTTCTACTCTTCCCGGATCCATGCGCAGCGTCCCGCCGCCTATGATGAAACCCAGGTAGTTTAGGTTGCGGAAGCAGAATTTTGACTTCGCTATGCCTATGGTTAGGTTCGCGTTCCTCAGACACTCGGCCACCAGTTCCAAATATTTTAGGTGCGTTGGAAAATCTGCCGATATTATCAGCAAATCGTCTAGTTATACGAACACGTTGGACCTCAGATTCGCCGGGATTACCTTGTCCATGAGCCTACAAAGTTGTTGAGCGGCGTTGCAGAGCCCGAATGGCATGTGGCCGAACTGGTACAACGGCCTCCCTGGTACGGTAAACGCCGTATACGCCCTGCTCTTCTCCTCAATCTCGATTTGCCAGAACGCGAACTTAAGGTCGACGCTAGAGATAAAATGAGTCTCGTCGATTCGCGATAGGATGCCCTCGATGCATGGAAGCGGGTAAGCGTCATTTACCGTCACACTGTTTAGTTTCCTGGCGTCTAAGCAAAACCTGTTCTTCCCAGGCCTCATCACCACCGTCGTCCGGTTGCTCCAGGGGCTGTCACTCTCCTCGATGATGCCTAACTTTAGCATTTTATCCACCTCGGCCCACACGATCTCCTGTTTGGCCAAAGACAGCGGATAATGTCTGTCCTTCACGGGTTCTGCTCCCTCGATCAGCTGAATTCGGTGCTGCAGCAGGTGAGTTTTCCCTAGGCCATCCTTCTCAAATTGGAAAAATCTGCGCTTCACGCTTTGCAACTGACTCTTCTGATCGTTGTCCAGGTCCCACATTTCCGAATCCGCCGCGCAGTCGTCGTCGTCCCGGTAATATGCCACCTCTGTGTTCGCTACCGTTACCTCAGATGCCTCTGGTGGTGTTCCGGGCTTTCTGGCCGGACCGAGCAGCTCTGGTACAATCTCAAAGGCCCGCCAGAAGTCGATTCCCAAGTATAGTTTCTGTCGCAGGTCCGGGCACATGTAAAATACGATATCTTCCTTTCTATTCTCGTATTTCACAGGCAGAACCACGCGACCTAAAATTGGGCGATTAGCACCCGCCGCTGTCCTCACCATCGATTCGTATGGCCGCGCTTCCCATCCCAGTTTCTCCACTAACTCCCGGCATCCTCGTCCCAACAGACTGACTGAGGCCCCCGTGTCCAGCAGCCCTTTCATCTTGGCCCCGGCGACTTCCACTTCGGCGAATACGCGTGGGTCTATACTATCCTCCCGTCTCACCGCCTCGACGACCTGGCGCCGGGTAATCCTGCGTCTGCGGAAGCGCGCACGTGCCTTAACCACTCTCCGGCTGGCTAGTGTCATCCCTTCCGGCTGTCGCTCACCAAAAATTCTATTTCGGGCCGACATGTATGCCCGAACACGTTCTTCATACGGTAAGCCCCTACGTGTTCCTCCTTTGCTTATATTAATATCTCCGTCTCCTTTTCAATGATTATTGGCTTTGGTAGGTACCCCTCGTCTGCTTCCCCGCGTTTGCCATCACCACGCTCCCTCTGGGGTTTCCCGGACAGTTTTCACACTGGGAGCAGAAAGTGTCCGGTTTTCCACACCTATAGCAGAATATTTTCCGCTCCTTGGACAGGCAGTCTCTAAAGACGTGATCGAATTGTCTGCAGTTCCAGCGTACATGTCGGGATGAGTTCCTGCCTCGCACGAATGCTTCCTCCAGTTCTCCCGGCGGCGTTTCTGTACGTTGTGGTGGTACTTCAACCTCGCTGCGCGATTATGAGCTCCCTACTCGTGCCACATAAGACTTCAGCGGTGTGGGTCCTGAAGCCAAAGCAATCGTTTTCTTCAAAGAAGCCGAGTGCTTCTTCAATTTGGGCGCCATATTGTTACGAAACTGCTTGTTTCTCGGTGGGCCGCGCCGGCTGGCTTATCGGTTTCTCTGGGTGTAGTCCCTGGCCCGCAGTCCGCACAATCGATAACAACAAAGCTACACGTCTGTAACAAAACAGACTTACACAACACTATGCAAAACGAACCACAAATCGATAACGTCAAACAATCGGAACATCCAACTCATGAACAAAATAAACAGCTGTAACAACTAAGAAAATGTAAACAACAAAGGTGAGACACTCAATATAAATTAACAAAAAACACTATTTATCCACCTTACTCTTCCAGATCGGGCCCTGGTTCCGGACCCAGCGTACCCGCCCAACCATGAGACGATCACCTTCTCGTCTCCCACATTTTGTCCATTAGATGGCCATCAGCCTGTGCCGGCTATTATGCCAACTCTCCCCATCGAAGAAAATTTAACCGGACATTTCTCTCATCAGATACGGTATATAATTGGTTGCGTTTTCTTTAAGTGTATAACAATTATAATCATTGCTTATGGCATTTATCTTTGCAGCTATTTTGAATCTCATATTTGGTTAGCTTCACAGGTGCGTATAATGGTTTGTGCATTCTTATAATTATTGGCATTAATATTTCTTTTTTTTCTTTCTGATTTGCACGAGGTCTCCGTCCAGATGAATTAATATTCATGCACGTGACGTTTCTTACCCGGATGCGTATTAATGTTGCATATTTATATTTATACTTATGGACAAAGTGTATTAATGCCTAAATTTTTCTCTTATCTCCTAGAATTCCTTTTTTTTATTTTAACAGCACCAAATGGAACAGGCGAAGAAATTCTACAAAGATATCGCTAGTCGCCGCAAAAAAAAACACGCACGGAGGCAATTAAGAGGCAATCGTTGCGCCAATTTAGGAACAATGTGCCCATACAACTACGTAAAACTGGGTATGTCACGATAATCAGTCGTGCAACAGGTAGGTGATATAAATTGTATTAAATCGCTTAATTCTACCTTACCCTACCTAAAGAGCTCTCTGGGGGTGGTAAGGGGCGATATAAATGGATAATTCCAATTAGGTAAGTATGTGAACATAGTTCGCGCAAGTGTTAATTTTATATTTATATCTTTTATGCGCAGATGCATCACCTTTGGAAATTCCCTCACCGTTCGCACTCTAAAGTGAAACTCGGCGTATGTGCCTATGTATGTATAGACATGATTAATAAATACAAAAAACTTAATCTAACGACAAAAATAATCTGTTCTTTTTCAGGGAGTACGGTCAGGAGTCTCCATCATTTCTTTGCCAAGAGCTCTAACGAGGATGGGCAAAATAGAACGGACTCACTCGGAGGATGTGGGCGTGGTCTCGCCTGTGGCCGCTTCTTCGTTGTTGGCGTCCGGTCGTTGGTGGCTCGTCTCGTCGCCTTCAGGGTTGCGCCGACGCTTGGCTGGCGGCGTCGCGGATATGGCTGGTGTGCGCTGCTGAGCCGATTCCTGGCTTTTGGTATGTTCGTGGACTTCTCTGGTGCGGGAGCTGGTCCCTTTGTTGCCGGAACCGTTAATTTTTATTTCCTTTTTTTTTAGTTCGTTTCGTCGCACTTAAGTTTTATGTGTTTTTCTTTTGCAATACGTTAGCACATACGGATTAAGCAATTGACTAATAAAGAAAACCCGTCCATAACAAATGTATGTCCCTTGATTTTTATCTTTTTGGTTAAGCACATGCTCCGTGGCCGGCAAAAAAAAATATCCCACATCCAAAAATTCTTAACTACGAGCCGGTGCGTCCGCTGTGGACCGCTGACAAAGTCGAACTCCGTTTACATTTGGGCAGCAACATCATCGGTGCCGAATTTCGGCACACGCATACATTGGCGAGGCGTGCACCGTTGCTGCACAGCTGCATTTTTTTGGGTCAATGGCCCAAATGACGACCAAGGGCATGCGATCCACTCTATTCTATTCTCTTTAAGAGCGAACCGGGCGGCCAATAGCAATCGTCGCTTTTGACGCCGTGGATAGCAAGTCTGGCGTTGCCACCCTTCAAAAATTTGGGCTCCGCCGTGGGCGCAGCTTCACCCCGCATACACTGACCATATGACGAAAAGATATCGGCGTGGCCGATAATATCGCACGCAACCAACTAGGTAAACCCTCGATGCTACCGATAACGTCAAATGCAACACAAAGAATTCACGACTGAAAGGACCATTAGGTGTTGTAAACTTAACAAACTTTATAAAAGAAAATATAAGTGTTTGCCCCAAGCATTTACAGCTCAGATCATCTTTTGTTTGAAGCGGACAGAGTTCCGAATAAAGAACATTTCAAAATCCTCACTGAAAACAGTCGTGGTGTTTTTCATAATATATTGCAACCCACTAAATCTGCAGTATCCCAAGAAAGTATGCATCGTCTTATCGGTCCAAGAATGGATGCAAGTTGCAGCTCTCATTGGATACAGGACATTTGGAATTCGAGGAAGGCAACGACAGTAACTCTTGCCTTGATGGCAAGTGATCAGCAGACACAGGACTGCTGCTAATTCGTCAGTGTGACATGAATTGGATCTCTATTGCAGCGCCTGATAAAGCGAACATCATGGCATAATACGCGCAGTGACCTTCCAAAGTCGCAAATGGTGGAATGCCATTTTAGTGTACGTTTCTCTAGCTCAGTCTCCGTACAAAACCGAAAAGTGGAAAATATCTCCCTTTGTTATCCGTACCAAGCTTTTTATGCAATAAATACTAAGATCGTGTCCGAGCAGAATATATTATATACCGCTGAACCATTCAACATTTAATGAAAACTTTGTTTTAATCTTAAAAAATTATCAGAAAAAACTTAGAAACGAATCTGATGACCTGTTTAATAATCGTCTAAAAAAACAATGCTTAATGTTACCTTAAAAAGGGTACCCTTAGGACAATTCTTTTATAATCATATTTATTAATATTGTTTCAAAATATATTTTTATAAATGCGCATGTCTAGTTAAAATGGACTTTATAATCAAGTATGCCAGAATACATAAATAATACCATAATAACATTTGTAAATAACAAGTCGTTGACTAGACATTCGTCGGTATCGAGAATTAATAATTTGATTTGCTCTTTAACTTTTTCAAAAAATCCTTTGCTTGCTTATCACCTTGTCTATGCTCCAGAGCGCGCAATGCCATGGAATCTTAAAAAATTTAATATGTTAGCATTTTAAACTTAAAAGAAATGAATGTTTACCTGTATACTCTGGTCTAGATAGACTCATAATAATTTGCTCGCCTTTAGATGCTATGAGATCTGCAAACGTTATATAACATTCTGCTATATATTGACTTGTCATTCCAAATAAATCTTTATCCTTAACACTAAATAAAATCAGGCTATCTTCCATCAGGCGTTGATCCGAGTTCAAATTGCTAATATATATAAACAATAATTCAAATATAAGATATGCTTCAATAGAACGATTTACTTACAAGTTAAACTGTTCGTCATAGAGTGGAAAGCAATTTTTATTATGAACGGCCGTTTTTACTGGTGCAAAGCCATTAAATCGACCAGTGGGCATCATGTAGACTTTAACGAATGAATCACATAATCCGGTTTTATCCACAGAAACCAAGCTGCGAGCATTTAATATTTTGAGCTGAAATTTAATGAAAATGGGTTAAAAGGGTATACTGGATCTGAGCAAATATAACAGGCAGAACGAAAAAATAACAACTCCAATTGACACTACAGCCAGTTTTGAGGATGTTCCCGACATGCGAATATACGAATATGCTGAAGAAGATATACTGCAAAAAACTTTATCAAGATCAACTAAGCAACACATTTTTATTATTTTTATACCCTGAACCCATTAGAACTGGGTAAAAGGGTTATAATGTTTTTGTAATGTAGTGTATGTAACAGGCAGAAGGAAGCATCTCCGACCCCATAAAGTATATATATTCTTGATCAGCACCAATAGCCGAGTCGATCTAGCCATGTCCGTCTGTCTGTCCGTCCGTCCGTCCGTATGTTAGATGTAGATGCTCCTAGTGCCTGCGCAGATCGAGTTTGTTTCCGATAATCGATAACTTACTCCGTTTGCAAGCAATCGATAAAAATCTATATAGATATCCTGTTTTTGGGCAATTTCGGTAAATAATAAGAGCTAGAGTCACCAAACTTGACATATACTTCTAAAATAGAATATAAATATGCATTTGATGTTGGAAGAAGAGGGTTCAGGGTATCCCCTAGTCGGGAGCTCCCGACTAGAACCTCTTACTTGTTTCTAACAATTTTTGTGTGTTGTTTTTATGTAAAAGGTGTTTATTTTATATTATAACTCTTGCGTTTCCCAGGTTTATTTTAGCGAGTCTTTCGTGCTCCTCCAGCTGTTGTAATTTAATAATCTGTGCTGTCGCACAGCAGAATCTGTAAAATATGACTAACTTGTCCTTTTTATACCCTGAACCCATTAAAAATTGGTTATAAGGGTATATTGTATTTGTGCAAAATCCAAATGTATGCAACAGGCAGAAGGAAGCATCTCCGACCCCATAAAGTATATATATTCTTGATCAGCACCAATAGCCGAGTCGATCTAGCCATGTCCGTCTGTCTGTCCGTCCGTCCGTCCGTATGTTAGATGTAGATGCTCCTAGTGCCTGCGCAGATCGAGTTTGTTTCCGATAATCGATAACTTACTCCGTTTGCAAGCAATCGATAAAAATCTATATAGATATCCTGTTTTTGGGCAATTTCGGTAAATAATAAGAGCTAGAGTCACCAAACTTGACATATACTTCTAAAATAGAATATAAATATGCATTTGATGTTGGAAGAAGAGGGTTCAGGGTATCCCCTAGTCGGGAGCTCCCGACTAGAACCTCTTACTTGTTTCTAACAATTTTTGTGTGTTGTTTTTATGTAAAAGGTGTTTATTTTATATTATAACTCTTGCGTTTCCCAGGTTTATTTTAGCGAGTCTTTCGTGCTCCTCCAGCTGTTGTAATTTAATAATCTGTGCTGTCGCACAGCAGAATCTGTAAAATATGACTAACTTGTCCTTTTTATACCCTGAACCCATTAAAAATGGGTATAAGGGTATATTGTATTTGTGAAAAGTCCAAATGTACGTAACAGGCAAGAGGGAAGCATCTCCGACCCCATAAAGTATATATATTCTTGATCAGCACCAATAGCCGAGTCGATCTAGCCATGTCCGTCTGTCTGTCCGTCCGTCCGTCCGTATGTTAGATGTAGATGCTCCTAGTGCCTGCGCAGATCGAGTTTGTTTCCGATAATCGATAACTTACTCCGTTTGCAAGCAATCGATAAAAATCTATATAGATATCCTGTTTTTGGGCAATTTCGGTAAATAATAAGAGCTAGAGTCACCAAACTTGACATATACTTCTAAAATAGAATATAAATATGCATTTGATGTTGGAAGAAGAGGGTTCAGGGTATCCCCTAGTCGGGAGCTCCCGACTAGAACCTCTTACTTGTTTCTAACAATTTTTGTGTGTTGTTTTTATGTAAAAGGTGTTTATTTTATATTATAACTCTTGCGTTTCCCAGGTTTATTTTAGCGAGTCTTTCGTGCTCCTCCAGCTGTTGTAATTTAATAATCTGTGCTGTCGCACAGCAGAATCTGTAAAATATGACTAACTTGTCCTTTTTATACCCTGAACCCATTAAAAATGGGTATAAGGGTATATTGTATTTGTGCAAAATCCAAATGTATGCAACAGGCAGAAGGAAGCATCTCCGACCCCATAAAGTATATATATTCTTGATCAGCACCAATAGCCGAGTCGATCTATCCATGTCCATCTGTCTGTCCGTCCGTCCGTCCGTCCGTCCGTCCGTATGTATGAAGGCAAGGATCTCAGAACCTATGAAATGAAATTTTAGATGTAGATGCTCCTAGTTCCCGCGCGGATCAATAACTTACTCTGTTTCCAAGCAATCGATAAAAATCGATATCGATATCCTGTTTTTTGGGCAATTTTGGTAAATAATAAGAGCTAGAGTCACCAAACTTGACATATAGCTCTAAAATAGAATATATATATATATGCATTTGATGATGAAAGAAGAGGGTTCAGGGTATCCCCTAGTCGAGAGCTCCCGCCTAGAACCTCTTACTTGTTTTCTCATAAGTACTTAATTGTTGGTGTGGCTGGTGAGTAGAGGCATAGCAAGTAGTGCGGTCTGTCGCGAGTTCGAGCCCTACCGGGGAAAGTACTTTTTTTATTTATTTTTGCTGGTGTGGCTGTTGAGTAGAGTCGACAGCAAGTAATGCGGTCAGTTGCGAGCTTGAACCCTGCCAAGGGAACTTTTTATACCCTGAACCCATTAAAAATGGGTATAAGGGTATATTGTATTTGTGCGAAATCCAAATGTATGTAACAGGCAGAAGGAAGCATCTCCGACCCCATAAAGTATATATATTCTTGATCAGCATCTACAGCCGAGTCGATATGGCCATGTCCGTCTGTCTGTCCGTCTGACCGTCTGTCCGTCTGCCTGTTTTTATGCGAACTTGTTTCTCAGTTTTAAAGCTATCTTAATGATATTTTGCAGAAGTCCCTTTTTCTGTTGCACGCCGTCATATGTGAAAACCAGCTGGATCGGACCACTATATCATATAGCTGCCATAGGAACGATCGGTATAATATTAAGTTTTTGTATGAAAAAACATTTTGTTTATCAAGATATCTTGCCCAAACTCGGCATTAACTATTTACCCTGTGCTTCTTAGATACGGGCAAAGCACTATAAGCATTATGAAAAGGTTGTGTCTGCAAGAGTATTAGATCTTCGGCGTGCCGAAGATAACCTTTCTTTCTCGTTTTCAATAACTTCAGTTCGTAAATCATTTGGTATCCACAATCGCAAGAAACTGACTTCAGATCAGAGTTCGCCTTTTCGAAATGGAACTCCTTGGTGCACAAATTTATTTCACAGTTTATTTCACAAACTATTGTTATCAATTCATCATACTCGGTTGATTGAAAGTTTGGACTTGCCAAATCAACTTCTGCTAGCCTAAACATCTTCTAAAAAAGTATCGGGCTTAAGTGAACTTTTAGAGTGTTTAATTTCAAAATAAAAGTATATTTTTGATTCATAGGCATTTAAGCTAAGCATTCTAGCTCACTGACCGTATACTTTTTTTCTTGCGTTTCTTTAATTTCTGAGAAACGTAAGCTATAGAGTGCTCTTTGCCGTTTATATCACATAACGATAGAACGCCACCTAATCCTGCCTGCAATGCGTCACAGCCCAGCATAATTACGGGTGAACTGGCTATAATATTCAGTCATGCCGCGAAGTCTCCCTACTTACCGCTGTGTTGACGGTATTGGAACACAAATGATATATTCTACCTTCTCAGAGTCAGTATTTAATGTTCCTTGACAAAGCTTACTCTCAAACAATAAGCTACTTGTTTCAGAGTTTTAATGTGGTTTTCAAAATCACAGTTAGATACCATTTATCATCAAGATTAATAAAAACTTGTTATCATAACGTTCCTGGTATTATTTTATCCATTAATGCACTCAACCTTTGTGCTGAGTTACGCAGTCAAAGTGCTTGACAATGAAGTGGCATAAAGATCTTTTTGGTATAGCGAAAGCCGTATTTTTTTTGATGATACGTCCAACGACATTTGTTAGATCTATACTTGAAATGAAGTACGCATCTTGCAATCGACTAAGTAATCCATCAACCTTTAAGCAATGAGAATCAATAAAAGCGTTTAATACCAATACCATAGGACTACACAATGGAGAATTGCTTTCCTCTTTTACCCTAACGTATAATCTTATTCTGCATAAACTTCTTTTTGTCTGGGTGGTGACGAATGATAATGGGTAAGCTTAAGTGGCTATGATAAACCTGTATAAATATCATGGATATCTAGATTGGTACGATTTGGTCCTAATAAAGTAAACGATGGCAATTCTTCATTGACTTCCTTAATTTGCTTAGTTTGAGTAAACGATATCGATTTGCTTTTAATCATTGACACTCTGTGCGGTTGTACTTCTAATTTAGAAATTACAAATTAGATAAATAAACTTCTTTTTGTAAACTTTTATTAACAATAATATATTTCATAATATATATAATAATATGTTTTATACTAATGTTTTTTTTTAATCCATTATATGATACCCATATTGCTACCATTCCTAAAATTTCTTGTAACTTTCCATCAGCTGTCTTAATTGAACAATTTAATTCCTTGGTTGAGAAATTATCAATTCCTTCGAAACAGTTTTCTCCTAATACACTAACGGATGCTCCTGAGTCTAATAAAACATATGATTCGTCATTTCCTATCCGAATTTTGTCATAGGCTCTGTTAACATTCATCTTACTGCTAATAATAGTTTCTAATTCCATTCGTAAATTTAATTTTTTTTTTATACTTCTCTAAAATTTAATATTTTAAAAGATAATTTTTTGGCCTTAGCTTACACTTTAGCTGCTCTAAACGTAACGTATGCAATTCAGTCTCATTAAATTCCCATATTTCTTTTGTTTTAGGCTGAGCTAATTGTTTGATTAGGGGTTCCTTCTCGAACGAAGGGGTTACTTTGATAATTGTTTCCCTTATGCTCAGGATTAGTTAACAAG